GCTAAGCAGTTAGCGGGCTGAGAGAGGCTTTCTATTTTGGTCTGTCGCGCGTGCGTTTTTTTTTGTGTTTTTTTCCTCAAGGAAGTCTTGTGCAGGTCAGAGAAATGTGTGCGTTGGCACGGGTGTAGTTGGTGTGGAGAGAACTCACAGCCTGTGTGGCAGGTTGTAGTGTTTGCTGTAGTGCTCCCAGCACGCCATGCTTCGTCATTTGTTGTTGGTGACCTCTTGGAATTGGAACCCAGTCCGCGTAGAGCGTCTTTTTGGGGGGGGGTACCAAGTGAGTCTAGCTGATCTTGTCCAGTGTTGTTGATGGCGATGTATTTTCTCGTCTTCTTTTGTCGCACAGAAGCCCCCGCCCGGTGGGTTTCTTCATGTATTGAATTGAGATTCAACATGTACCGAGCCGGAGTCCGGGCTACAGCTTTGTGGGGCTGCTTGCCCGGACTTGAGGATTGTTTACGATGCTTGAATTCACGAGGAGGAACATGATGAATGAACAAACCCCGAATACGAAACAAATCGAGAAACTGAATGCTCATATAGCTAAATGCTCAGTGAAGCCTCGGCTTAACCCTGCGCAGAAGTTATCATTGCCAGGGCCCCCCCTTGCACGATGCCCCCTTGAGGAACCTCTCGGGTCTGTCCCGAGGGTTGTGATCAATCGACGAGGGTAACAGGGTATACCCTGAAATGTGTTTTTGCCAGGGTGGGACCATAAAATTGGTCCGCCATTCTATGTCACCACCCTGCCAAGGTCGAAGTAGCCCACCCTGCACATGGAGCAAAGTGGTAACAGGGTGACCATTAATTTCGTCCGCCATTCTATGCCACCACCCTGCCAAGGTCGAAGTAGCCCACCCTGCACATGGAGCAAAGTGGCTACGTGAGGAGTACCCTTTCCTGCAGGTTGGCTCACTACGTACAGGCCGATTAGGGGGCAGGTTGCCGGTGGCAGCGCAAGGTGTACCCTCTCTTGGAGGTTGGTCCACTGCCTACGGGCCGGTCGCCTAGATTGGAGCCTTGTGGTAGCGGGTTCAATCCCCCCTGCCAGTTGTGCTTTCAACATATATTTCTCCAACTTTTTCCTTTTTTTGATGCGGGCATCAAAAATCACTGGAATATTACAACTAGAGTTCTGCTCGTACAGTATCGAATTTCCCCCCGCACGATCAGCGAAGTCCATCATGGAGACGATACACAATCCCCACTGAAAACTATCCTCTCCCAACAAAATAAAACCTATTACGTTCTGCCCCCAAAGCCGTATTTCTCGAAGAACATACGACGCCGCCTTGTCCACAATAAATGAATAATAGAAACGGCGAAGTGGACAAGGGGCAGAAGCCACACAGACCCCAAACGCCGTCGCAAACGCAGTACAGAAAACACTCGACTCGCATCCCCCGCCGCCGAGAGCAACACATCAAAGCATTGTACGACTCTAAAGAAAAAAGCAAGACGCGATAGCAATGACAGGAGTACTGCCGAGACTGCAAGTATAACGTATCTACGCTCCGAGCAACACATAAAAAACGCCCCAACCCCCCTGCCAGGGTTCGAATGCATATGAAAACACAATAAAAACGGCGAAGAAAACAAGAAGCAAAGGCCACACAGATCTCAAACGCCGTCGCAAACACAGTGAAGAAACACAAGATTCGCATCCCGCGCCAGCGAGGGCGACATATATCACAGCATTGTGTGATTCAAAATAAAATATGAAGACATCATCACTAACGGGGGTACTGCGGAGACTGCGGTAAGAGACGTATGTATGATGTACGCTCCGAGGACCACATCAAAAAATAACCCCCCACCACAACTATTGAGTACACCCCTCCTCCCCCAGGTAGGGTTCGTATGAATAAACAACAGAAACGGCGAGGAAGACAAGAGGCAGAGGCCACAGATCCCAAACGCCGTCGCACATGCATTAAGGAAACACGACTCTCACCCCGCGCCAGCGAGAGCGACAAACCTATCACGGCATTGTGTGATTCAAATGAAAAATATGTGGCGAAGGGGAGTCAAACATTTATCTGCCTCCTCCTTCAACGCTTCGTGCAGTTGTACACGTAATGAGGACCCGGGCCACGCGTTGCACGATGAAGCAGCGGAGACCCCGGCGACTGGACCTGGAGGTTAACGACCAGCAGCGAAATTTGATTCAAGTGTCAGGCAAAGGCGGGTAGTGGAAAACGACGGAGACCATCTACGTAAGTCTGTAGAACTAAAGGGGGGCAAGCTAGACTTGTGTAAACAAAAACTAGGAGTTCCAGCGGCGAACAGGCACCCTGTAATGGGGGAGAGAATGTCGAGAGGGGCACCCCGGGCAAGACAAACAGTCCGGAAAAACACACGCAAGCACCCAACATCATCGCAGGCAGAGGGAGGAAGAGGGGCGCGATTCAAAGAAGGGACGACACATACAACAGGCCGAAACACACCTTGCCACACGGTTTAGAGTTCCACCGAGGCTTCGGAATCCGCGTCGTCACCGCTGCTACCCCTGTTCTGGCCCGGAGATGAAGAACCATCCCCGTCTCCGTCTTTGTCGGTCCCTCAACCCCCGCCTTCATCCCCGCCTCCGCCCCCGTTCTCCTGAGACCCTCCGCCCCCGTGCTCCTGGGACCCTCCGCCCCCGTTTTCCTGGGACCCTCCGCCCCCGTTTTCCTGAGACCCGCCGCCCCCGTTTTCCTGGGACCCTCCGTCCTCTCCCAAGGCGGACCCTCCGCCTTCTCCATTGTCCTCGAATAGGTATGGCTTGAGGAAGCGCCTCGCATCCTCCGCACTTCGAATGCTGTCGGGCTCCTGGATGTCGCCGAGGTATTCCTCACCGAACTCCATGAACTTGTCCCAGAAGCTGAAATAAGAAACAAAGATTACACCGGCAGTTTATGAACGTGCAGGAGGTCCATGTTTCAAAAATCTTCCGTCAACCAAATGCGTCTCGACCCATGCCTAGGAGCGGTGACAGGGCATGCTGAACCTGCGGCGAAATAGTGAACACTTGAGCGGGAGACAAGCCAGGGAAAAACAACTAACGGTAAAAACTTTGGGGCAGACCTTGCAGGACCGCTTTTGTGCCAGACAAATAAACTTACGAACGCCGCAGGAGACAGGGTTGGGTTGAAGAATACGCCAGTGTCACAGAGCTTGCAGTCAACATATCGAAACAATACCAGCATACGTTTCGCGGATGATGTGGTACTTTTCGCCGCCGCTGTGCTTTCCACCAAAGGCCTTCTCCAGGAATTCTTTGACCACGGGGAAGGTGCGGTACTTGTCGGGGTCGCTCTTGTTTGACGTTTTGTGGCCTGGCGTTACCCTCCTCGCGTTGATTACGTCCCTCGAGACGAACAGCTCCATCTCCTGCAGAGCTACCTCCATAGTCGGCTGCAGAATCTTCGAAAGACGATCAGTCCATGTCGCCGCGTTTGGGGGGGTGGGGGTCGTGGTGCTTAGCGGGAAGTAGGCTAGATTGTTGGATGCACCAGAGTATATTTAGGAGTTGGTGAGCTGGAAATGTGCAGGGAAACAAAAAGGGGCGGAGCGAACATGGACAGCAGCAGCTATCACGACGTGAAGGCACACGCGGGTATTAGACCAAATGCGCCAAATACCACGGGGACTAGCTTAAGGGTAAATATAGTGGTACAATAGCGCGAAAGGGCGGAAAGCAAAACGGTTCATTACTATTGAAATAGTGATGCACATCGTGAGCAGCTTCGCAATGACACTTTGGATTGCTGCACTCCTGGCCCGCTCGATAAGCTCTTCCAATAAGGACACAGTCACAACCCAACAGAGGTCGTGTGCATCGACCAACGTCTACATCGGTCTACACATACGTCGCCAGGAATAGTTGCATGCGCTCGACAGCAGGTGCTGGGTCAGACCTTTTGTCTTTTTGAAAGGGGCGTGAGGGGGGCACGAGATCAAGTTACAACCCTCATTGGTCCGGCGAGCCCGGCGTGACCCGTCCCGGCGTTGTAGGGATGCGAGGTCAACTACGGCATGCACGGCTGTGAGCCCCCCCCTATATATTCAATACATGGGGCACCGTGGTTTCATAAACCAGATCGTTCGTAATCCTAGTGTCATAAGTCTGAGAACCGGGGCAGACAGTACCTGGTTCCTCCATGGTGCGGAGCGAGGGCAACTGTACACCTCGTAGAAGGACATCGTCATGGTCTCGTCCTTCGCTACGGGGACGCCGTGTCTTGCGGGGCTTCGGCCCTTTGAGAACATGGCGGTACCGAGGCCGCGCATGGCGGCGTCCGGCTGTAGAGATACAGGGGGCGGAAGACGGGAAGTCAAAAGGTGGTGAGAGGCAACAGATTAAGTGGTCGCGAAAGGGGGTAGGTGGGGGGGGGTCCACGGTAAGGTCGAAGCCGGGTGTAGGATATGCCGTAGTCGCCCGTGTCGTGCACACGGGGAGGAGATGACCGTTGCGTTTCAAATGACCTCCTCCGAAGGGCAGGAGGGAGAGTCATTTTGTCTGTGACATACCTCCAAGGTTCTAACTGCTCTACTTTTCGTGAACACGCTCTCCGCCGGGGCTAAGACGAGTTACCGTGGGGTGGGTATGACACCGACAACTACATTACGACATCAGGCCCGACGAGACGGCGCAAAAACAAAAAACAAAAGCCACGACACTAAACCTCCGCGTAACGAGACAAACCACCCTAGGTTTTGGGCATTCTCAAGTTTGTCGCTCCGCATCCTCAAATGGATCGGGCAACCTTAGTTCCTCGACGCTGGTTGAACGCGCTGTTCTCGTTGTACACGCAAGTTTCAAAGGGAAAACTGCGCGAACTGCATCATGCGCCCCACCTGCTGTTCCATCTGAGTAGTCATCGTGTCCACGATGAAGGCTGACGTGAGCTCACGTGCTGGCGAGCCATCATCCTCCGTGTACTCGTGGGTGACCTTCTTCAGCATGGCCAACATGCTGGTGCGGAGCGCGGCCCGTGTTACGCGCCACGTGGTCGACTTCATGGGCGCGATGAGACGGCGACCTCCTCTGGAATCGAGGTGTCCGATCCGATACCGGAGGGGTCGGTCAGAGTGCAAGGGGGGTGGGTGGAGTTGGTGAGCGCAGTTGAAAGCGAAAGGTCTGCTGCAGGAGGCGGTATGCTGTACGAGTCGGAGACATGGCACCGAAATACGAAAAAAAACAAGAACGGCATGATTTAGTGGTGTCTCCGCTGTGCGATGCTAGCGAGCCCCCTTTTCAGATGGTGACAGTCTCAGTGGAACGCCACTCATTCATGTACGTATGCACGGTCGGCGCGGTTCGTGCGGGGTTCGCTGGTATTTTCATCTAGTGGTTGCCAACCGTACCGTACACGACCCAAGTACACAACGTACGAGCGATACCTACCCCCACCGTCGGTGACGCAATCTAATGCACTGCTATTAATTGGCAAAGCAAGCCCGAAACGACGGCAGGAGACAGCCTGATACCGTATTTACCATTACCAAGGATGGAAATTTGACTCTGTCGTCCTTGCCATGCCATAGCCACTTCTTGCAGTAAAACCCAGGACCACTCGCTGCATACAAGCTGGTACTAAGGGGCCTACGTAACCTATAGGGAACACCGCACGTCGCCTGCTTGCATCAACATTAACACCAAAACTCCGTCCGGAACATGGCACCAGGGAGCGACAAATGGCACGGAGGAAATTACGTTAAACAACACGGGCGAGGTTGACCAGGTGAAGCTTGACTAAAAAGCGCAGGGCCGAAATCATGGCGGAGAATCGGAACTTACTCGAGAGCTCGGTCTGGGTGATGGGTCGTTCCGGGTCCCATTCACCCCACAAGTTTCCAACTATCTTCAGCAGGCTGTGTTCCCTGCAGTCGATAGTCGTCAGGCAGATGCCCTTGAAGTACGCCATGAACGGCAAAATGAGGTGGAACGCGGCGCTTTTAAACGCCGTCTTCTTGTTCTCTGGTTCAGCATTAGCCTTACCAAAATCCGACTGGGAAGCGAACTGAAGCGAAAACATGCAAAAGCGGCGGGGCGTGAGGTGGGTGCACTGGCTTAGTAGTCAATGGAAGTGACATTGCTGAAAGAAGTTCACATCCGGACCACGGGAGTGCGCGAGCAAAATACAAGAGATACGTGAGCTCAGTACATCGAAAAAGCACGTGCGTGTGCGTAGTTTTGAATATTTCCGGGTGGGGGCCGGGGGGGGGGGGCATATTGAATGGCCATCCCGGGTTTTTATGCCGATGCATTATGACTGGGACGGGGACATGAAACAGAGTTCCCTGGATGCATGCCGAGGCATTTTCGCTGAGGCTGTAAGATACTTCTGTGTGTGTGCATGTCATCCGGGCTTGGGGAACCCCGAGAGGTGGCGGGCAAACCCCGCGACCCCTAACCTTGCCTTCGGAAGCTTTTCATGCGCACCCCGAATATCCTTGTGGATCAGCCTTTAGGCGTGGTGCACGCTTGTGTTCGTTGTACAATACAAGCTCTTGGTCGCCGGTAACTAAAAAAAAACTGTCAAATATTTCGCCGACAAACGTAAATCGAACGCGCAAGGATCACAAACTTCCAACCCGAGTGGCTTGTGTGTAAACGGCGATTCGATATAAGGTTTCGAAAAAAAATGCCGGCGCCCACGTGCGGGTGGCTTTCGTATCCGACATCTACGTTCGAGAACACCCTCGCCCGACCACTTAGAGATATACACGTCAGGACCGCAAATTGATTGTGGCTCGTTCCTCCGTCAAACGCTTCGGATTGGTTGAAAGCCTTGACGTGTTGTCTCTCACCATCAGGCCTTCATCTTTGGCCAGGCGGCAAAGCACTGTCGAACGTAGCGCCGGGCACCACTCCATGACGTGCATGGCGTCTAACATGGCGTCGGCGGCCTCAGGGATAGAAGAGGCAACTGCTTGCTTCGACGTCGCCTTCCGCAATTTCGACTACAAGCAGACACATCAGGGCAGGCACGTGGATGTTAGATCGTGTGCTGTGGATGAAGGGAGGGAGGCCGTGTGACCTGCGTCACACGCACGAAGTAAAACGCGGAGTCTGCTAGTTTCATATTATAGGCCATACCTTTCCCGTCCAGCTCGAAGGGGGGGGGGGCGAGAGACATAAAGCGGTCTCAAGTGTCGCAGGGGTGGAGGAGGGAACGTGCCGTAAAAAAGCCTTCTGTGTACCAGAAGGATAAAGAGAAACCCTCGTAGTAGGCAGTCAGTGCCAGGTCATGGGTCATCAATAAATCGTGTCCGATCACTGGGCAGAGTCTGTACAGTCCTGACTTGGCTCCAGTGTGGAAAGTGTTGCTGAAGCCAGTCAGCCAGATTTTAGCAGTACTACTGCTGCATGCTATGTGTACGAAGTATGCACAGGAGCAGTTTTACGAATAAAGGGACCCGCGGCTTTCGGATCTGTGTACAACAAGTCAGAGGGCCCCAGGAGAGGCCCACAACACACTGGTATTTCACAGCAGTACCGACACAGCGTATCGCCTCCACAAACATGCTATGCACATTAGGCAAAGGTTTCCGACATACATTTCCCGCAACGAGCATGGTGACGACCACGGCGCGGCACACAGCAATTTGAGAGCCGTGTCCCCAGAGAGTATCCATTTGGGCTTACATCAGTACTGTGGAAGCCAGGATATTCGTTTCTTCATAAATTCGTATCTTCTTATAACTTACACACACATACGAAGGGCGTAAAGAACCTTCGACAGACGATAACTCATCGCTCTGCTTTTGGATCATTTACTCCGTATGTTCTTTGCTCCGACAGGAGTCGTGGTGGATCTTTATGGTTGGTACCGAGAGCCAAGAAGGGTCTCGGCCAACGCCTACTCGCAACCTTACCCTAGCCTTGACCGAGCACGCTCGGTCACCGCTTGACATTCCTCGTCACATCTCAACAGAGGAAACTAGGCTGCCTCCGGTGGTAGGCATATTCCACCTCGCCATACTGGGAACTCAGCTCACACAGAGTTGAGGGTATTTACCTCAGCTCACACGGTATTCATAGTAATATGCATACGAGGGAGAAGATAAAAGGATGACACGAGGTGGAAACGTCGTCGAGGCGAAAGGGCGAAAGGCCGGCTGCTTGAAGGTCATAGCCCACGCAGAAGAGCAACAGGAACGAGGCTCTTGAGAATGCGTTGTAGGTGTAGTCTAGAATGGAATGAGTGGCTGATACGCCATGCAACAGCAAACCAACAACCAGGTACTTGTAGGTTGTGCACTGCTACATAGGGTCGAAGTGGTCCTGTTGATCTCGTGAGGACTGGAGTGTCACGGAGCAGAGGCTTGTGCGGTAAGAAATACGGAGAGGAGATAGTGTCGGCGACTAAAATGTAGAGCCGTGCTTGCACCTCCCCCCCCCCCCCCCCCCGCGCGCGTGCCAACGCCGGCAAACAGGGGACAACAAAGCAAACGGGTGTCACAGCACACGAATCAAAATTCTAAAATTCTCCGGGATGTTGTACGTAGACTTGAGCTATTGACTTCTACTGCTACAAGCGCCGCTACATTGGAATTTGAATAGGTTGCTTTTACGAAGATGTAGTCTCTCGAATTGGTTTCCAACAAGGGTTGTGTGGACAGGAGGCGCAGATGCTAGCGGTTGAGATCGGAGAAGGAACGCGGGAAAGGCCGGCAGTCGCACATCATGCTACATGCATAGGGGGATCGGTGGGACATAGCAGCAGGAGAACGTCGGGGTTTTAGACTTCAGCCCTGGCTTATGAACAGTTCAGCGTGTGGCCTGCAGCGAGCCACACACGCTACTGGGACAAGAGCACGACATGCACTTGACTAGAACTATTGTACAGTAATCGGAGACTATGTGCGAGATGTGTGCTCTAACGCCCGAGTTCTCACCTCCACTAGATCCGCGACGGCCTGTCGGGGGTCGACGTTCTCGTCCTCCTCTTCCGTGTCGAAGACGGCCGCACGCCGGGATCTGTTCTTACCGATGCCGGACCCGTTGGTGTGGCGGCGCTTGTTGCTGGAAGAACCTCTCGAGTCGCCGCTGGAGGACGACCCTCCCCCAGAAGAAGAGCTGTTGCGGGCGGGCCTCCTTTGCGAGTTGGACGACGACGGAGCGAGACGGTGCTGGTTCTGGGACATGGTGAAGGTGAAAAGGAAGAAAAGACGGGACAGAGGATGGAATAAGTTGTGGTTGCATGTGGCGCTAGCGCGTGGCGCGGAGAACTCCCGCAGAAGGCGTTCATCAGGGGAACGAAGGTTGATGAAACGCCCCCCTTTGTCCACCTATCCCTCCACGCGTCGCCCCTCTCCTGTCGCCAAAGATCGAGCGAGGCCTGCCCACGCGGAGGTCGCTCGCGAGCCACGCCCTTTCAGCAGCCAGTCAACACCAGAAGGGGGGTGAAGCACGTCCCCCCCCCCCCCCCCTGAAGAATGCGGCCCTGAGCCCCCCTCGAGTGCCCAGGTGCGTCGGCGTGGTGCGTGTCATCAGCGCGTCAGCGCAAGAGGGCGGCGTGAGTGGAAGATCCGGTGATGCCTCCGAAGTTGGATTTTTGTGTTGGTGGCGGGTTTGTTTGCACCGGCTGCGCTAAAAGATTTACTCGCCAGCGAGACTGAACGAGGCACATAGGCAAGTGTTCAGCTTCCCACCACACCCGCCGTCGCCTTTCCCAAACGATGTGAATGAGACTTCTGATTCGGTAGACGGAGGTGGACAAGATGGATCCGATACCTGGGACGGCCTGTTCGGCGGAGACAGTGGAGACGGGCCAGTTTTTCGAGATGAAGATGATGCAGGCATCGGAAAGATCTTGATTGACGCATTCACCATCACGCCATCACTTTTTTGTTTTTTCGACACACTCCCGCAGTCGAGATCAACATACACAACGGATACGTACAACCACAAGCAGTTTTTTTACAGTGAAAACTTCGCAGTTCATAGCGCTCATGCACGTGCCCAGCCTGCCGGCCTGTGCTGCTATTTCATGGGTGCCCCGATAAGAGCATACAGCGATGATACAATAAGAGGGTGAGGTGGAATACTGTAGCGTTTTTGTGGAAAAGAGAAAAAAGTACCACCTGCTTTGTTACCGTTGGGTCGTTTATACCACACAGCGGCAGTGTTGAGTCGTGGGGCGCGTGCGATTTACAGAGATGGGGGGTGGTATTCATCATCATGAACTAGAGAGAAGGGGAGATGAGTGTTTTGATGAGCTATGTGTAGAGCAGCATAGGGAAAAAAGTCTCTGTTCCTCTCTTTGGTTCGCGGTTTCATCTGCAGGCAACTCCAAAAGCGTGTGAGTTGTGACCAAACTAGCACACGGAAGGCACACATGGCATCGTAGGCCCTCGCATACAAGTATAGAGAGTTTTACAGCAGTACATGCATCATCAATGGTGGTGTCTAGAAGCGTGGCGGTTGGTGTGTGACTTTTGTCCTCTCTCTCGCTGGTGACTAAAACGCTGCCACTCGCAAAACGCACACAACAACACAACAAAGTTGACACAACGCTTCTTCTCTCCTCTCGCATCCTCCGCCGATAGCTGACAGCTGTATAGTAGGACACCCACACACCCCTCGCCCTCCCGGTGGTGTGTGGGTGTCTCCCGCCCCCCTTATGCATGTTACCTGTCTCTGTGTAGTGTGCGTCTTGCAACACAGCAGCTCACCGGCGGAATACAAAAAAATATCACGCCTGTCTGGTATTTGTGCGGGGACGCTTGGTTCCGCAAATCAAATGCAGCGCAGATGCTGTGCTATCTCGACGCACCGAGCCAGACTGTAAATTTAGCAGTTGGGACAGGTTGGGGAAAATGCTACTTGTTGTGCACAAGTTTCAGATTAAAATTTGGTTCCTCCTGGATGGTAAAATGGGCTCCAATCTCATGTGTACTTATCGGCGCACAGACACCAGACACCAGGCACCAGACACCAGACGCGGCAGGATAGCGTTTATTTGTCTGTCATCACACACGGAAGGAGTGTTCGCGATTTTTTTTTTGCCTTCGTTGCTGAGGGACCGAAATCAATACCCCAGGTTATGACACATGGGACACCGCAGACAGATACACGTGTGCAAATCTCTTCTTCAAGGGCCTTGATTTTAACGCGAAAATGCCACATCATGTTATATATACAAGGGCTCCGGACTTCGGGCGCAGAGGCGCCCTCGTCCTCAGTAGTAGGCTTAAAGGGAAGGTGTGAAGGCTGTGCACAGCATAATACCAAGGGCATGAAGCCGCAGGGTGACCGAATGAACGGTGTGAAGATGTTCGCGTTGTATTCGAGAAATGTGTCGTTCCCGGTGTAACATGAAGCTTCAAAAGTCGCGTGTACGTGAATTTTTGTCTAGCTTCGCCCGGTGCGGACGAAACGGAGATGTAAGCTACGGTCGCCTCACTATTCTTGCGCTGGTAAGAACGTAGTCGCACTCTCAGGCAACGTTCTCTGGTGGCTTTGCGGTGGCCAATATCCTCCCTAAAGGGGCCATAGAAAGAACGAACACTGCAATTGTTCGACGGTATTGCCGGTAGTTGATGGTGTGTTGCCGCCTAGCTCTCATATTCAAACTTCTTCAGTGCCGCGCGTTCCTCTAATGTCCCCCTCTAATGTTCTGGAGCTATTATTCTAACTTTTTCAGTGTCGTCCCGCTCGAATGGTCATATTCTAACTTCTTCAGTGTCGATCCGCTCTAATGTCGCGCCCTTCTCTAATGGCCCCCTCTAATGACGCCGATATGCGGTATCCCTCACATTGTGAAAGGAGTCGAACACCTACAACATTCAGACAAAGTGGACGCTAGTTGACGGTGAAAGAGTTGACGCCTCCCGCCTCGGGTCATCGTTGCCCCTTCCTGCCCTAGTGGTTATTGCCGATTACCACTGCGGAAGGTATGGTTTCGTCTGCAGCCTTGTGCGGAGGTCTCGAGCTTCTTAATGTTGAAGCGCGAAGGTGATGGCCGTGATGATGTCGGTGATGGTGCAGGCGGTAGGGTGCCTGCGCTGGCGGCAGAATGTAATTATTGGGGAGATGGATGTAAGAGCGTGTTCGTGTCATAATGCCTAGCTAGCTAGATGATACCGTATAACGTAAATTTAAAGCAGAAGAAAGAGGTTGTTGGGGAGGAGGTAATGTGGAGGCATTAAAAAAGTGGATGTTTATCTGAGCATCAAAAATTCGTTTAGCTGCGATGATTTCTTCGACACATAATAGTTATCCTAATGTTGTTGGAGGTCAAATACGCGGTGGTAAGCACGTCCATGCAAGGTGAGCATTGAAGGGGCTGGCGGTTCAGTCCATGTCTTTTTTTGAATACAGCCTGCGCCTAATGCAGTAAATCCGAAAAGCCCGTTGTACCTTCTTTGAGCAGAAATGAATTTAGTAGTTTCAAACAGCGCCATAAGATGGTGGGGGATAGATTTGAGAGGATGGATACACGACTTGCCTTTGTTACAACAATTTAATCCCTTTTCTTCTTTCCAAAGTTGAGCATTGCAGTGAGAACATGTGATAATTTGTGGATCATCCAAATCCGTGTGTTTTAGCTCGAAAGTTGCCGAGGGGAAGTCGAATGATTGCGAGTCAATGTCTTGCACTCCAAGGCGGATTTGGTTACTAGCATCACCGCGAAGGCTGTCTAGACTGGGTGCCGGTAACCTTGGTGCTCGATTCCTCATTTGGCTAAAACGTTGACGTATCATATCGAGTTCAGGGTCTGAGTCGTGTGGTGTGTTATTGTTTGCATTACGACGTCGACGTTCCGTTAGTATTTCAGCACGTCTTCGTCTGCGAGATCTTGCTAGTTCTGCGTGTTGCGCGTTATCCGGACAGGTTTGTGGTGTTCGAGTTTCAGGCGTCGTTCGTGGTTGGGTGAGCGATCTTCGTTGGGTATTTCGACGAGCTGAAGGTGGTCGTCGAGTTGGAGTTGTTTGTACGTTCCTTGAGGGAGTGTTACTCTGGCTGGGTGTAGAACTTTGGTGTGGATTGTGACGTGCAGTATGTGTTCGTGTTTGGCGATATTTGAGATGCGGCTGCTGAACGAGTTACCCGATGAATTGGCGTCGGCCGACATCGATGATTGTCAGACATGGGGTGATATCTTTACTCAATTGATGGTTGGCGAAAGCCAGTTGAAGTTGACAACAATGTGCCTTGAATAACTTGAGACGTTTACTTTTTTCTGAAATGGAAACACGCGTCTTACTTTAGAGGTCGGCGAGGGCGGCCGGGACGGTGGCAGAGGCTGGTAAGACTCCTTGTCGTGGGTAGTTCCCAGGTCGCGGTGCTCGTCGGTCTTGTTGAGGATCTCGTTGATGGTCTGGTCCCACAGGCGGCGGGCGCACTGGTAGTGCAGTGGCGGGAAGTCTCAATCCTTGATGATCAGGTCATCCTCGACGATCTCGCCCGTGCACCCGTCGGCCAGGTCTTCCTCGTTAGTCGCTGCGTCGGAACACTCGCAGTGCACCTTTCTTTGCAGTGGATATCGGATGGGTGACAGGGGAAAATATAAGGGGTAAATTTCACATGGTTTTACTCCATAAAGAAATGATATTTTATTTTATGACGTCGACGGTTGAACTCGGTGTACTGACAGGGGAAAATATAAGGAATAAATGTCACATGGTTTTCGTACATGCACAACCGGAGATCATCAGTAATGAGTAAAAAAACAATTAGAAGAAAAATAAAGACCTACTATTGCTAATCTATCTTAGACTTCTTTCTGTAGATAGAGATGGATTTATTGTGTCATTAAGTTTTTTTTTTCTGTGGAGAATCAAAGTCCGCTGTCAGAGCCAGCCAGCAGCACGCACGCGCCCTAGCTAGCGTGTGGAGGACGTGCGACCCGGCGGTAATCTGGCGCTAAGGTGACAACTGCCCGACATGATAGCCGTTTTTATGGTATCTGCGAACAGTTTGAGTGGTGTTCGTGTGTGTTTATTGGTCCGAGAAAGTGGCCTCACAACTTACACAATACTCTGTTCTCATTTTCAAGCGCGCGCACGCTTCCCACCCGAGCTCATTCCCTCTCACCCCCCTCTCGTCCTCCCTTGGACTCCGTTTTCTCACTCTCCGCCTCTCCATTTTCTCTACTCGTCACGATATCCTCCGCCCGCGTAGTCCAAGGTCGTTCTGCGGC